TATGCCCTTTCCTGTTTCTGCCTGTTCCTAGCCTTCATCATGGTACTACAAGCTTAGTGTGTGCTGGAGTATTTGTCTGTCTCGGATGCTGTCAGTTCTTATTGCAGAGGGAACTCGATGGAGGCAGCGATGTGGTCACTGCTGCCCAGTGTGCTGCGCTGGCCTGAGCATTCAGTTGAGAAGATGAATGTTGTGTGTAGTGGGTATACAGTCACCCTTGATTTCCTGCAAAGGGGTAAATACCAGTCAAGTGTTACTGCTTCTCTCTTCCACTGTAACAGGATGTAGGAAGAAGTGAGCTTGCAGTGCTGCTTTCACTGTTTGGGTGTACAGAGACTGTTTTATGCCAGGCACTGCATACTAGACCTGCAGAGCAGGTGCAAAGACCAGGCTCGTGCAGTGAATGATGGCTCAGCATTCCCATCTCTATAATAAGCTTTGCAACCTTTCTCTTCTTCCCTTAGCCTACTTTCAGCACCTCCAGAGTGCTTAATTTCACTGCTCAGGACAAGAGGACGGTGTTGTCTTTTGGGACTCTGAAAATGTAGCTGCTGTCAAGCAGGAGTGGGTATTAGCTCATCTGCAATAATTTGATGGGGAGAGTTTGGAGGTCAGAGAAAACATGCTGAAGAAGTGCTGCCTGCCTGAGCACGGTGATTTTGCTTTCTCTGCACATTGGACCCAGACCAGCTTGTTGTGAGGTTAAGGCAGGCAGGGTGGTGTTCCTTGCCATGGTCTGGAAGATACTAGGAATTAACGGACTGGTAGCATAGTGCTGCTGGTGCGTTTCACTTCTCACGTACAGTGTTACAACTAGTGGCAGATTAAATTGAGGAATCAATTAAATCTTTTCTTTCATGCATGCCATATTGGTTTTCACAGGAGCCCTTTCCTGTCAGCAAACTGCATCTTCAGAAGTTGTTTTACTCTGAGCTTCTGGCCTGTGTGTTTTTGAGGGAAAAAGGGGTAGTAACAGTCACTTCAGGACTGGCCAGTTGTTGCAGCTTCAGGAATAGCCAAAGTAGTAACTTCCAACCAGTCCAAGCTTTCCGCTTTGCAGAGGACAGACTGCTTTGCGATCAGTCGCTGTTGCTCTGACCATCTCTGTCCTGCTGTCTTTCCACTTCTCTTTTTCTTGATCCTATCTGCCCTTCTCTCTCCTTTTTCCTGTCTCTGTGCTTCTTCCTTTGGTATTATTTTCTGTGGGGTTTTTTCTATCCTTGGTTTATCTCTAACTGAAGTCTTTCATGATACTCAGTAAGTAACAGCACTGTTATATTTTCTGTTGCCACCGCACTTTTCTGAGCTTTCTCTCTTCCCTTGCATTTGAGATCGTTAGCTCTCTGGGATGGAGGCTTCCCACCATTCTGTGTTTGTATGACACCTGTTACAATGGGACGCACTTTTCCTGTCTAATAACACGATTAATGCACCTTGTGCAAATAAATGATTCATTGGACCCTAGATGAGGGTGGAACACTCTATTTTTCTTGCAATCATTCCCTTCTTCCCAAAGAAATAAATGCAATAAATGTGCAATAAATGCATAAATACATAAATGCAAGTGTCCGAGGTTTTTCATCCTGAAGAAAATACAGATTCATTACTACGTGTCTCTATGTGGCTTCTCGCATCGTGGTGTCTAGGTGGCTTGCTCTCTGAAGAGTTGTGTGAGGAAGGGATGGGAGATGTGTGTTTTTTCTGAGAGTACTGTCATGGCTAGTATGTAAATGACTCACTGGGAGATCAAGGAATAAAGAAAGCAAAGATCACTTGTGGTCTGCCTTAGACCACTAGGCATTAACCTCAAGACAAGCCACTGGGAGCCAGTTTTTTCATTCCTGAACCATTGTTTCACCTTCTGTCTGTTCAGCATCCTTCCCTTGTCCAGTGACTTCTGTCCAAGTCTTCTCTTGCCAATTGACTGCTGAGCTGTGGAGTCAGAGGAGGCAATGTTGCTCAAGTGACATCTCTCCAGACATCGCTCAGTCCCTAGAGACTTGTGTCCCAAAAGCACTCTGAAATTTGTATGACAAACGGCAGCCAGCCCCACTAAGGGACTTTGCGGTGTGGAAATATGTACATGCTATCAAAGTCTACTTGGGGAACTGCAGTGTTTTGTCTTTCAGTTGACACTTTATATTTCCTTGCTTTACAAATGCGTTGAAGGTGCTAGTGCTTCATGAATACCAAACACAAGGTTTTTATTTATTTGTTTTTTTCACGATCAATATGAAGATCTCAGTACAGCATAGCACATCGCAAATCTTTTCCAAGCGCTTTAACTGCTCCCTTCCCCCTCCCCAAAGGTACTGGCTGATATCCCAATAATCAAGGCAATCACAGTGTAAAAATAAAACATTGCCAAAGCTCAGCTCTTACATGCTGGTGTGTGAACTAAAGATGGCAAAGCCGCTGTTCTATTGTCCGTAAGGGGGAGACTGTGCTTAAAAGCTCCAGTCCCCTGTAGTTTCCAGGAACAAATGCTTGTGGAGTGGCAGCTTTGCAAAGTGAAATTCCAGCTGTTACTCAGTAGCCCAGGAGGCCAATTGCCTAAAAGTATGCCCCAGTGACAAGATGGATTTTGAGAGATGGCAGAATAGCAGAGGAATATCAGAGTAGTTGATGCAGAAAGGCGCTGCTATTGCACAGCAGCTTGGGCTGGGTAGCGATGGAGTTTCTCGTAGCAGATGTGTGAGGAGGAGCTGCACCAGGTGCAGAGCCTGGCCTTGGTAGTGTATGCTGGGCAGTCAGGACTTGGCTACACAGAGCCAGGATTGAATCCAAGCTCTTCATACTCCTCTCTGCCCCAGGCTGCCTGCAGGTTCAGGAAAACAGCTCTGCAGAAAATCAGGTTGGGAAGGAATTCTTCATGGTGAAAAGAGCTCGCTTAAATTAAACAGCTGAACTCCTTCCTCTAGTTGCTGAGGAGTTGTCCATTCGCCTTTAGGGAAATGAAGAAGGACACTTGAATTCTTTCTGTTCCTTAATGTCTGTTCAGTCTTACTGCAGTGGCAGCTGGTTGCTGGTTCTGCTTTCCCTGGGTGAATCCCAGCTGTGATTGCAGGTGCCGCTCCACTAGCTCAGATCCGAGCAGGGACTTGTGAGCAGGCAGCCCATGTTGAAGTGCTTCACAGCAGTGGATACAAATGAATGCTAAATCTGTTCCCTGGTAAATGTTGGAACCATGTGAGTGCACTGAACCCCTCTGAGCTGCCAAACCTTCTGTCAAGCCAGAAGTTAAGTTGTTGTAAGTCTGTGTTCCCTTTTCTTTCAATAGCTTGTAGTGCGTCCTGTAGGAGTGTAAATATGACTCCAGCCAGGCGTGAAACATGCAACTTGAAAGCCACAGCGTTCGAGAGGCTGGGTAATGGAGAGTGTGATTGTGACTCAGGGAGCTGCTTCTCTGGTTGGATTGAAATGGGAAGAGTCCGGGCATGTCTCTACCTGCCTGCTTGCCCTCCTTCAGGGGGTGGAGGGGTACGGGAAGCCTGGCAGAGGCCCTGCTGAATTCGTGTTACTGGTGTAACTGTCAAGGCTGACAAGACTGCAGAACCTCCCCTGTGCTAAGTACATACTGATGCTGTAGGAGCAGCCGCTGGAGTGACTGCCCCTGCGCATAGACTGCATCTGGTGTGGTGATGAGGTGTGTGGCTGGCAGCACTGCAGTGAAGCTACAGATTCTGTTTGGGTTTGCTTTTTTTTAACTGTTCTCCCACTCCCCACCCCTTCCACACTGTTTTTCTTTATCTGTGTATTTAAAGAAGTAAGGATGCTTTTAGGTGGAATTTCTTTCCACTGCCTCTGATTTGCACCACTGAATATCATGTGTTCCTGGGCTCAGGTACCAGCCCTTAGCTGTGATGAGGTCTGGAGAAAGCAGCTGAAAGCCCTTCTGCAGGGAGAGGTGTGGGGAGGAGGGAACGCATTAGAGTGCAACAGAGGGAGCTGGCGTGAATTTTCATGCTGATGAATATGAGAGTGAAAGCCTTGACTGCTGCTGTGGTGTAATTTGGCCAAGCAAGTGTACTCCAAGCACCGTCAGCGCACATCTGTGCCAGGCACTGACATGGGCTGTTCCCATGATGAGTGTTTACCTCAGCAGTGGGTCTCATGAGTAATATCCCAACTAGACCAGCTGCAAACCCTAGCCTGGGAAGACTTTACTGTCTTGCCATTTGTCTTCTCAGTTGCACCTGACAAGCAGAGGAGAAGCTGAGGAAATATTCCAGCTGCAGTTTGATTGTTCCCCCCCAATTACTATTTTACTTTCAATTTTAGATTTCTCATACCTGACTCTAGATCCACCTAGAAGGGAAGAGGGGTGTGTTGGTGCAGGCAGTGGGAGAAATGAGGCAGAGAAGTAGAAGTGATCAGTGTTTCTGCTGCTGTATTTGGGACACTGTCATAACTTATCTTTAACGATCTAAATTGGGGCTAAGGACTAAAGTCATTATGGGAAGAAGTCAAAGTAGTGTCTGCAATGATGGATGACTACAGGTAAGAGCCAACACTGCAAACATAGTGGAGATGAAAAGCTGTAAACCATCAGCATCAATACATCAGGCAATAAAGTTCCATAGAGCAAAATGCCAGGCAATACTGATTTTGGAAGGGACGAGGAGATGCAGGTCCTGAGCATGATGGGGCAGCTGTGGCCAGATTTGCTGTGTATCTGTTGGAACACCAAGCTATTTGCAGCCTGTTCCAGCAAGGCAGCGATTCCTCTGCCAGAGCAGCGAGCACAGCCCCGTATCTGCTGGGACAAATGCACCCACACGTAGGGCAATGATTGCGATTTCCAGTGAGCCTGCGACTGAATCTGCATTGGCCTCTTGGCAGGGAGCGTGCCTTCAGCAGAGCAAGCAGTACAGTGTGCTGAGCGAGGAACTGTTTGCAGGACTGTGGCTCCACGTGCACTGACTCAGGCTGATGGGGAATTTCTGCTGCATCCTTAAGCTGTTCCTGAGACTTCTGAATATTTCCCTCCTTTGTTTCAGAGCCATCATCAATCACTTCAACCCGAAGATAGAGTCTTACGCTGCAGTGAATCACATATCGCAGCTCTCCGAGGATCAGGTAAGCCAGGCGTGCGATGACCTTTTTTCATGTTGACCTCTGGAATTATAGGTATTTAGGAGTACCTTGCATTCGGTGGGACTGATAATGTGGCAGCAGTATGAGGGGTGAAGGTGGGACTGTTGTGTTCCTTGTTCAGTTGTGGGCAAGAGGAAGGGCAACAAGGCTTGCATTAGCCAGTTTTACCATCACATGCAGACATCTTGGTCCAGCAAGCGCAGAAGGATGGGTAGAGCCATGAAAATATGCAGCATTGTCAGCAAGTGTGTGAGGATGCTGGTGTTCAGAATGGGGCATGAGGTTTTTGGTAGCGAGTTTAGTTGTCAGAGAACTGTTGGGCATAGCGTGGTTTTCTGTGATATTGGGGAATTACAACTTAGGTAACAGTTGGTAGAAATTTTCTAGGATAATTGAATTCAGTTGGTTTAGATTTTCAAAAGAGAAGGTTTTTAATAAAGAGGGTGATAGGGTTAGGTTTCCCTTCCTTAATTTGGCCTGGTTTGCTCTCTTAATGCCCTGCTTGTATTGCATAAATGTGTGAATGTGGCTTTTTGAAAATAGGCTACTGTGCATGGTCTCAGGAAGGGAAAAAGATGGCCTATTTCCCAAAATAAAATATCGGGATTATATGTTAATCACTCTTGGAGAAATAAATGACTCCGCAGGATCCTGTGGTGGACAAAATACAGAGCTGCTGTGAGAGCTGAGAGACCATCCCCAGCACAGCTTGCATCAACAGCCCTGGACCTTCCAGAGGAAAAATTGTGTACGCAGTCTAGCACAGACCTCATTTGAGTCACCTTGGGTTGCTTCTTCCACTGGATGGGATCCTATGCTTGTGCCTGTTAAAAGGTCTTGACTGTATCCTGCTCTGCAATTAATTTCTCTATCTGTCCATGATATTTTTACTCATTACTTGGTGATACCCTTCCATGCTTTGCACTAACCTTTTCATTTATTATCCTACTTGATCTGTAATGTGTAACATCCCAAAGTCTCAGGTTGAATAATGTACTGGTACAGCAGGGAAAAAAATGTGGACCCTACTGCTTTTTATTCTTTTCGTGATAGAAGAATACTGGTTTTAATTTTCTATATCGTTATGCCTCTGAGAGTCACTGTACCCGCAGCTATGCTTTGTGATGGTTCGTGTTATCAATTCTCATTCATTGATGATACTGATTGCACCAACCCAGGCCCCTAAAAAAGAAAAGCCTTTGATAGCCCAATTTAAAACTGGGGGCTTGGATGGAGGGGAATTTTGCATAGTCTTTGGGTTAGTCTGAGAAAGGAAACAAGCTTTTCACTGTCAGCTCTGTGTAGTATTCATCCCCCAGCAGTTCAGGGAGGTCAGGTTAAATCCTTTCTTCCTTGTGTGTTATTCTTTAAATAAAATTTCTAGCAGCAGGCAGATAATGAAATCAGTGCTGATGCATGGAGCATTTTGAGGAAGGTGATTAGGAAGTTGAAAGACATTTAGATTTCTCTTTTTTCTTTTCTCCCTTCATGCTTTCTCTCAACATAGGGAGAACATCAAACAAAGCAAAGCAATAATAGGCTCTGGTGAACTGCAGAGAAATAACGGAGATGTCACTGTGGTGAGGGACTGTGTGGTCTCAGTAAGGGTGTTTAGTCAGCGCTCTGCAATTTACTGCACAAGGAGGAGAGGGATGGACACTTCTTCCCTCCACTTTCAGTTATGCCAGTGAGCTCAGGTCTCTGTTGGACTGTGGTTTCCCCTCTGTCTGTAGCTGTCCCACGTGGTAAGTGATGAGAGGTACTGGTAGATGGCCAAGGTCAAGGCTAGGGTCTGGCTTTTGTGGGGTAACAGAACTTGTTGGGTTTGTTCTGTGTTAGCTGTTGAGCATGGGGTGTGGGGGCCTTTTGGCTGCTGCAGTCTCTTTTTTTTCTTTTTTTTTTTTTTTTCCCTTCCAGCTGTACCTTTTGTTTTTACGTGTGTGTTCACTTCATTCCCCTTCTCTCGTCTCTCTATAAATGTTTTTTACACAAAGTCCACCCTCCTTTGTAGCCCTGTTTTTTGAAGAGTACCACACTGAAATATTTAATACTGACATTTAACTTGTATGTCCACACACAGATACTACATTTGGGACTGGTCATTCTCTCCTTTGAGTTATTTCGATAGTTTCAGGAGACTGGTATTTCTTTACTGGGAAAATTTGTGTTACAATTTTGAGGATCAAACTTTTCTTTTAATGAAGATTTCCTTCCCAGATACTAGCCTTTGGCCAGATTCTCATATGGCTGTTCATATTCCTCTGTGGTATCTGAGAATCTCCTATTAATGAGGCAGGCATGGCTTTGACATAGCTCTATCTGAACGGGAATTTCCAGCTGCTCTGAGCTGCTTCCAATTCACTTGAGCCTAATCAGCTTGCAGACTCTTACTTGAGCCTGTGTCAAACTTGCTATGCTGCCTCTTGACTGTTCTGGCACCCTGTTCATGTGTTAGATGATTTTTTTTTTTAATGTTTTTTTTTGTATTTTTAATATCGTTAAAAGTAGCTAAGTAATCAGCTGAAATAGATTTTGCTCTGAGTGTTTCTTTTTCTAATCCTATTGAAGACTTTATTACCTTGTTAATCACTAATGTCTGTTTATTACCATTTTCAGCCTGTCATTTCAGTGCTTTCTCCTTTTTTATTTATAAGCATTAATGTTAACATTATTACATGTTGAGGGGATTTGTGGCCCTTGAAAATGGGTATGGGATTGTTTTAAGGATACGCTGTTAATACCATTGTACATTTTCAGCCCTAAAGATCTCCAGGAACCATAATTTGAATATACAGATCTGTGCTCTAGGCAGGTGTATTTGCACACTTCATGGTGCTGCTTTGCTGACTGTTGTGGGGTTTATCCAGTGTTAAGATCAAAAATACTGGGAAGAGACCTTTTTCTTTCCATATTCTCTTGAGCAAAGAGTGGGAGATTCCCAGGGGAAAGCAAACACTGGGGACTAACGATGAGCCACCTCAGTCTGTCAACACCATGTGATCCTTGCCAGTGGCATTCTGCAGAGAGCCTACTTGCCAAAGCAAACTCATAATCCTTCCCAGTCGTTAGCTATTTTGACCTTGCTGTAGTTCCTCGCCATGAAACAGGAAATGTCTTAGCCAGTTATTGGCATCTTCCCTCACTTGCTAATTTGTTAAACCTGACTTCAGTGTTAATTTGTGTTTTTGTGGTATTCTCCCTCTCAACGTGTTTGGCTCCTGCCTGTGTGTCCTTTAAGGAACTGAAAGGTGCTGCACAGTCAAAGAGATAGGGTTGGCCATTAACTGCCAATGTAGTTTTAGCTCTTCCATGCAAGTGATTGTTCCCATGTCTTCAAAGATGTTTCGGTCCATTCTCAAGTCAAAGGGCAAAATAGCCTTCTGTGAAATGAATTTATAGGCTTATCTATACTCTACAGATGACTCGACTGCCTTGTGCTTAATACATTGGAGGCAGTAGACTTCCTCTGTGCCATATCTGATCTGTGAAGCTCCTGACGTGGTTTCTAGAAGAAGCAATTGCAGAGAATAGGGTTAAGGCAGTGAGACAACGGCGGCACAAAAGTTGCTCCAGAAGGGCAAACACAGACAAACAGAAAGACTGAAAGCATGGGACATGAATGGTCTGGATGAGGTCTCACATCTGCCTTTTCTAGATGTGAAAGAGCAGCTGTTTGTAAGAAGGCAGCTCAGTGATGGTGGTGTAGCACAATTATTCTAGAGAAGCTGAAGTAAGAGGAACCCAGTACTTGTGGTGAAATCTCTGAGCAGGACTGTCTTGTGGTGCCTTGCATGCCAAGCAAGTTTTGTGCCAGTTAGTAAAATTGCTCACTAAGGTCTCATTTTCTCTTTGGCACGTGTTCTCTCTATGGTTTACACTCTAAGGGTCTCAAAATTAAGATGGCAGACATGTAGGACTGATGATGCTTGCTAGTCAGGAACATCTACATGCTTTTTTTTAATAGAAGCCCCTCTTTCTTCCCAGCCATAGCTAGGTACCTCTGGTTTGGAGGTGGCGTGAAGTTCAGTGTGAAAGACTGTTGTGAACACCTGTGCTGTGCATATTAGTCTGGTAACTGTAGATGAGAAGTGCTGGGAGCCAGAACAGATTGTGATGGAAAAACAGGACAACTGTATTGCTTTTGAAATTGTGACATATGAGCCTAATACTTGGGTTGTTCCACATTGTAATATCCTTATAACTCAGGTAGCTGTAATACAGTTTGGTCAGCCAGTCTTGCAAAGCCATTTCCCTTTCCCTGAGTTCATACCTCAAATCCTGAGTGTTCCTCCCTGCTTTCCCCCTACCCCACCAATCCACATGGCCTTTTGTTAGCTGGCGGGTCTTTGAGGGACTAACCCAAAGTGCAGCTCAGGGAGGCTCCACCAGTGACTTGCACAGAAAGTCACAAAAGGGTGCAGTTGGTTTTAGATGCCCTAAAGTATTCTAATTCTGAGCCATTGGTGTCAGGATTTATTCAGCTTGTTCTGGTTTCCATAACTAGCAGCAAAACTACTGGCAGTTATGAAATGCTTCATTGTTTTTTAGCGCTGCTGACAGTGGAGTTAAGAGTTAAAAGTCTGTTGGCACGTGTGTGTTTAATGTTTTTAAAATGCCGAGTACCATCAGTGCTAGGTACTATTACAATAGACCCCCCTAATCTCTTATATTAATATAATGTGTTGTGAGGGCTCCAGAAATACTTTAAAATGGTTTTGGTATAAGGCTACTTGCCATCTGAAATGCAGTGGGCTTTGGGGTAGAAAGCATCGAGTAGTAGGAATGTGAAACTCCAGCTAAAGGGGTCACCAAGGCGAAGCCCTAATTTAAAGTCATCACATCTTTGCGAATGAGGCAGGGATGTTGGTCTTCATGGTGTCGTTACAGACACCTACTCATGATTAATGGCTTGAAACAGATTTTATTGTTAAATAGAAAGAACTGAGCTGCGCCAGGTGAAATTGCAATCCCAGGTTTAAAAG